AAGTCAGCTGTGGATCCAGGAAGACTCCCAAGTTGCGGACCCTGTCTGAGGGGAATAGTGTTTGACCCCCCAGCCTGAGAGGTGGAATATGTGCCGAATTGGTGGGAGGGAAACACAACAGCCACTCGGTCTTATCTGGGTTGACTGCTTGTGTTTGCCTGTAACTTTCCTGCCTTGTGTTTACTTAGAAGAACCACCTGTTGGTATTGTACATTTATTCATCTATTCTTACGTATATAAAGAACTTAATAAATCCTGCTGCGTCAGTTTTCTGTGTGTGCTTCTGGATTTGAATTTATGCAACAAACTCTGATATCAAAGACCCATCCCCTGCACCCACAAGTCCGTCACATGGTCCAATCAATTCATCGTCCCAATTAGAGACAATCCCCAGTCACTCCCATCCAGGTGCAGGCTGAATGTCCTTGACTCCCTGAGAATGTTGTCATGACTATATATCTCCACGGACTCCTTGGAGTTCCCCCCTCCTGTTTTCTCAGGGCACTAAATGTGGCAGCCCTAAAGCTCCAAAGAAAAAGATGGCTTCCAGGGCTGACAATGTTATTGGGCTGCCCCAATCGTTTTGGCAGAAGGGGCGCGATGCGGATCTTGGACCTCAGTCACAGAATTCCGTAAGGCGGAAAACAGGAGAAGGGCCTTTTCTACCATGGCTTCTACCCTCTGGGATACCATGTCTCTCAAGGTAAGATCTGGCCTTCGAAAACAGCCTCAAAACCTGGGATTGCTGATTGGCCTGGGGCCTCGAGAGAGGCTTTCAAGAAGAGACTGGACAGGCATTTGTATGAAATGAAAATAGGGTCCCCTGCTTGAGCAGAGGGTTGGACTAGAAGACCACGTGCACTGGCAACAAACAAGCCACAGCAAATGGTGGCAGCGAATGGGCTGCACCAAATGGGCTGTGGTGGTGGCACACAGGTGGTGCCCAATGGGCTGCGCTGGTGGAAAATGGGTTGCTGCAAACAGGCCGCAGCAAACAGGCAGCGCCAAATGGGCCGTAGCAAACAGGCTGTGGCGGCCACAAATGGGCTTTGGCAAATGGGCCGTGCTGAACGGCCATGCTGATCCCAGATGAATGCTGGGAGGCAAAGGCAGATTTTTTTTCTGTTTTCCTCCTCAAAACGGGTAGGTGCGTCTTATTGTCCTGAGCATCTTATACTCCGGAAAATACGATAAATTTAATAAATAAACAAACAATATGAACCGTGTCGAAGCATAAATGGAAGATGTAGAACTGCTCAAAAACCATGTATGTATCCAATTGTGTTGCAGTTTCTTGTGAGACAGGCTGGTAGAATATTATGGTTGGTGTTCAAACAAAGCACAGCTTGTAGCTTGCAAAGAGTGTCACTTACTAGTCTAAAAACAATTACAGCAGGAAGCCACACAAGATTACTTTCTGCTTAAACTAACACAGCCATAATATGTAAAGCAGGGGATCGATCCAGTTGTGTGGATTCCAAGTGAGAAGCTAATGGGATCCATTGGATCAGTTTGAAGAGCTACAGGAAGAATTCATGAATTAAATCTATGTGATCAGGGGTAACAGCAAGCAAAGAGAGTAATACCCTGTATTTCTCTAGGACAGGAGTGTCAAACTCAAGACCTGTGAGTCTTTGGCCCTCAGAGTGCTTAGATGTGACACATGGGGGCCACCCTGGAAACAGCAAAGAACCAGCTCGGGGGAGGGGGGGCTGCAGGCGCCCTCCTAAGCTCCATTTTTGCTGGCAGAGGGTTGCAGAATGCCGTTGCAGCCAAAAAAGGAGCTTGGGAGCCCATTTTCTCTGGCAGAGTGCTCGGCCGCCACAAGCACCCCCGACAGGAGTGATGTTGAGCTGGCCATGCCCATCCCGGCCATGTCCACCCTGGTCAAGCACAACCCTCATTGTCAACCTTTCATTAATTCAACCGTCAATGAAACAGAGTTTTGACATCCCTGCTCTAGAAGAACGGAGCCTAAGGCAGCTGTCTGCCTATGTAATGTACCAGCTGAAGGACAATCAGTATTGACTCATGTTCCCCGTGTGCCTATTTTTAGGTTTCCTACTCTGATAAACTGATAGTTGTGGTGGCCTGATTCCAGACTCCCTTTTGATTGGCATTAGCCACTAATGCAATGGCTGGACTCCTTGTTTGGCATCAGGAGGCACAGATGGGAACTGCTGGCCATCTAATCTTGGAGTGGGAGGAAGAGCTGGTGGATTGGTCTAGAGTGGAAGCAGGGCCATGGTACTCTAGAACCCTGAACTTAATCCTTTCTAATCCTGCCAGCATCATGAAAGCAACCCTCCTAGACACGAGAGTCTCTCTCTCTCAATCGAGCGAACCTTAATCACAGTCACTCGTGCCTTAGTCACTTCCCGTCCTGACTACTGCAACGCGCTCTACATGGGGCTGCCCTCAAAGGCCATCCAGAAGCTCCAGTTGGTGCAAAAGGCAGCAGACCGCACGGTTCTGTGCAGACCCCGGGGTGCACATATATCACCTCTCCTGCGGGAGCTGCATTGGCTGCTGATTTGCTTCCGGGCGCAATTCAAGGTGCTGGTTGTCACCTTTAAAGCCCTTCATGCCTTGGGACCAGGTTATTTGAGGGACTGTCTCTTGCCTGTCACATCTACCTGAGCTATCAGAGCAGGGAGGCAGGAAATGCTGTGAGTCCCATCTCCTAGGGAGATATACCTGGTGGGACCCAGAAGAAGGGACTTCTCTGTAGTGGCTCCATCTCAATGGAACATTATTCCCTCAGATGTTAGAATGGCCCCCACTCAAATACTCTTCCGAAAGGTGCTGAAGACCTGGTTCTGCCAGCGGGCGTGCGGAACCCAGAGCAGGATGGAGCCCATTAAATGGCTCATGTGATTGGCTGTTGCTGGGGCGGGAGGTGGGGACGGTGATTTTATTACATGAATTTATTTGATTTTTTAATTAGTTTTACTCTTTTTAGAAGTGGTTTTTATTTTCCGTAAGCCACCTTGAGTCGCCATGGGCGAATAGGCGGCAATATGAATGTAATAATAAATAAATAGAAATAAATAAAATCCTTCCAAGCCTAAGGTACATGTCTGGGACGTGAAGAGTTTCCTTTCTTCCGTGTCAACAGGGACCTCCAGGTGCAGGCTTTGCTTTGAACACCTAAGTGTGCTCTTTGGCAAAGTTCATGATGGAACTACTTCAGGAGGCTCTTAAGTATCACCTTGAAGCTACTCACTGGATTTCTCCATTCAGGGTGCTTTGAGAAGGACATTGTCCAGAGAAGCATAACTATGTCTGCCTGAGTTCTCACCGAGGGATCATCATTTGATGTTGGCCTTGCAGCGCAGACCTGATCGGAAGCATGACCAATAGCAATAGCAGTTAGACTTATATACCGCTTCATAGGGCTTTCAGCCCTCTCTAAGCGGTTTACAGAGTCAGCATATCGCCCCCACAATCTGGGTCCTCATTTTAGCAATAGCAATAGCAATAGCAATAGCAAT